ACAACTGGTGCTACCTGCCACTTTCAGGGGCCCAACTGCATAAGGAGTTTGGGGGACTTGGCTTTTAATGAGATGGCAGATGGCCAAGAACCCAATGCCTTGCAGCCCCTCCTGCCTTTCAGCTCAGCCAGTGGTCCACAGGCATGGCGAGGAGCTAGATGGTGCACCACACAAAGTGCAGAAGGTGAGCTTTGCACAGTGGCCTCAAAAATGATAAAACTCTGCTCTCTTCTGCCTCAGAAGGCTTTCCACCAGGGTCTTATCCAAGGACCAAGCAGGAAAGCAAACAGCCCTTCAGGAAACCTTATAGACTCTGTTGGATAACAAACTGAGGTGGATGATCACAGCAGCTTTATTATCTCTGAAAGTGAAAAATCACCTTGTATACTACAGTAACAACAATCCATGCTCCATCTCAATTTTTCGCTGGCTCCCACCACTTGTCATCTCTTACCAACAACTACATCACCACAAATGTTTGGGTGAGCAAGACTGGCCAAGCAAGTGGCACACAGTGCGAGCTTCCACCCTGTGCCCATGTAATCTGCATCTTCAGGATGCCCTATTTTCTTACCAGCGAGCTGACAAAGTGATTGGCTGCAGTGTGCAACATCCATGTGTGCTGATTTTAGAAAGAAAGATGGTGATCTCCATCCTTAATGCTTTTGACTCCTCCTAAGTTCCGGGGGCTGAAGTCATATGGTGTGTAATTGCAACAGATTGGGTCAGGAAGGACTCCGTGGAGCATTCTCCCAGATACAACTCCACAGGCCACATTCACTTTCAAGACTGCAAAGGCAACCACACAAAAATTAACTTGTGATACTCACTGCTACAAGATATCGAGGAAAGCCTAACAAAATCCCTAAAAGTAGACCATTACACAAATCATAGGTTTATAAACTGGTATCATATCCACCAGGGTAAAGACTATGAGCTCTCAACCTCCATGCCACAAAGAGGCATTAAGCACATTTAGTTGGGGAGAAATGTCTCCCTCTAGAAGATAGATTTTTTTTATAATCATCCATAATAGGGATTTTATACCTATCTCTGGAATACTCACTGCTGGTTTATCTAGTCCAATAACCTATGTAAGTTTGGGGTTTTTTTTTAAACGGTCTCAGTCTATGAGTATCCACAATTGTCTCTTTCCTTCCCATCTCCTTTGTGGCACTAGCTCTTTATTAGAAAGTTAATAAACTTTGTGTATGTTCTAAAGATAATATTGAAAACTGCAAAATTGTGTTCTGCATTTTATAATTGGTGTGGAAAAAAGGGGGAGATCTAATCCTATCCGGCCTTCTCTCTCTTGCTCTCTCCCTTTTTCCCTTTTGATGGTAAGCAGCAAATTTTAATTAGCTTCATTTCCACAATTCAGTCATGCATATGTAATCTTTGTTCACACTTCTATAAAGTAAAATTAAGTGAAAGAAATTGGGTAATAATAGAAAGCTTGTCTGAGCAGAACAAATGTGAATTATCAAACATAAGGAAAGATGACTGGGAGTACAGGGCTTGAAGTTGTGCAAGGTTTGAGGTGATTTTTCTGAAACAGGAATGCATAAATAATGCATAGAAACAGGTGCTGATTATCCTGTTTTGGGCATCTTTTGTTCATTATATACTTGGGCTGCTGAGGTACAGTGATAACCACTGAATGTGAGGAGACTGCTTAATAACAGCTTTCTAATGTTTCTCTTTTATCATGAGCTGAAAGTGTCACATGAGCTTGTCTAGTTAATAAAAATCACTTTGTGAACCCACTGTTGTTAGATTTGGTATTGGAGCAGATCACTGTGCTGGGCCTCTCTCTTGATTATAGCTGCAAAAGCTGTTCTGCCGTTTTGCATTGTAATTTAAAGGTTTCCTAATCCATATACACACCCTCTAATTAAATGTTTCCAGAGGTTACCTTGGGAGCCTTCAGTGCTATGGTTTGAAACTAAAACTAAAGAGTGCATTAAATTCATTCCCCCTGGGGTAAACTACAGGAGGGGGAAGTACGTTTTCATCCCCTGCTACTCCAGATTTTTAAAAAGCATCAGCATGATCAGGATTCCTAACTTCATTATTATTGTTATCTAACATGAGAAGATGGAAATTTAAAGGGACACAATTGATGTGTTTAAATCTAGAGTTCAGCTTATTTTATAACTTCTGAGAAGACTATTTACAGTCGAACCAGTTATTTTAAGAAGCTACCAGTTCATCAGCAACAACCAAAACCCAGAACCTCCTGTTGATGTAAATCAGTCTGTGGCTGCACAAGCTGCGTAACAAATGCTGCTGCGGCAGATGCCGAGGTCTTCATTAAAGGAAATGTAGTGAAGCATGTTGGTATTAGCGCCTACAGAAGTAAAGTCTGAAGCTCAGTTAATGTTAAACTCATAAGCAGATACTTTTTCTTCAGCACCTGTTCACGCATTCAGCGTGACCCCACCAACCTAACAGCTTTAGGAGAAACACCTCTTCTTGTCTCTGAGAAGTTCCTATTACAGGAAGTGAATTTCAGACTTGGGTGGTGTTCTTTTTTTTTTTTTTTTTTTCTCCTAAACCTGCTTTGCTGCCAATGACTAGGCATACCCAGGATTTACGTTAATGGTTAACAGAGCAAGCTATAACCACCAGAAACTCTAACTTCCTCCTACTGAGGCTGGGACCAAAAGCTGCCTTTGCTTGCAGAGGAAGACACGAGCCTTGAAAGGAGAGCAGTTCACACCACAAAGGGCAGGAGAACGGGAGCTTCACTCAGTAAAGAAAAGAGGAGGAAAATCCAAAAGGAGCAAGAGGTGTTTGCCTTAAAGATAGGTAAGACCTGAAACACTTTCCTGCTCGGCTTATTGACTCAGTGGCTGTTGCTAACAAAACCCAGAGGTGTGGCTAGTTGAGACGCATTTGTTGTACCTGACTGCTCTGACCTGTGTGTCTCAGTCAGAGGGGCAAAGTGAGAAAGGATCTATTTGCTGTGAATTTGAACGTCAGAGAGGGCAGGAAGGCTCTTCCTTCCTTCCCCTCCGCCCAGGGGCTGCTCATGGCAGGACAAACATCCCCTTCAGACTGTTCTCACCTCATTGACCAAAGCCACATCCCTGAGTTTGAGGTGGCTGCTTGGGTCAAGATCACCTTGGCTTCAGTGTATGTCTGCATCTTTATTGCGGGCATCTTGGGCAACAGCATCACTATCAAGGTCACTAAGATCCTGCAGAAGAAAGGCTACCTGCAGAAGGAGGTCACGGACCACATGGTGAGCCTGGCCTGCTCTGACCTGCTGGTCATCTTGCTGGGCATGCCCATGGAGTTCTTCAGTGCCATCTGGAGCCCCTTTTCCACCCCTAATGGCAACATAGCTTGCAAGCTCTACTACTTCCTCTTTGAAGCCTGTAGTTACGCCACTGTGCTGCATGTGGCTACCCTCAGCTTTGAGAGGTACGTGGCTATCTGTCACCCCTTCAAATTCAAGGCAGTCTCTGGACCCCGCACAGTGAAGCTGCTCATCGCCTTTGTCTGGGGGACATCTGTCATCGTAGCTCTGCCCCTGCTTTTTGCCATGGGCACAGAATATCCCCTGGAAACCATAGCGGGCTACCAAAGTATGACTGCCTGTGTCAAGCCTGTGCACCACCTCCCTGAACTGAAGCACAATATGACCATCTGTACCAGCCTCTCCTCCAAGTGGTCTGTCTTTCAGGCCAGCATCTTCAGCGCCTTTGCTGTGTACATCGTAGTACTGGGATCTGTCGCCTTCATGTGCCACAGCATGATGAAAACCCTGATGATCCACAAGGAAGGAACTGTGGCAGTGAAGGGTGGACTAAGACACCAGGAGCAGTACCTAAGAAAAAGTGAAAGCTCGGAGGGCAAGAGCTCCAGGAGACAAATCATTTTATTCCTGGGTAAGAGCCCCATCCTACTCTGCTTCCCCCCCCCAACCCCCGCCCGCTTTCCACACGGGAAGGAAACCCAGAAGCCTCCATTTTGTCTCACCAAATTCCACCAAATGGGGGATGTATGGTTTGAAACTGGTGCAAAATGAGGAGGAGGGATACTTTTGGTTGCAATGATATATTTTAAGAAATCTGATTCCCCTGCATGTTTTTGACTCACTCTTTTTGTCATTAGAACAGGTGGGAGGGAATAAGGAAAAATCCATTTACTGTCTGCTATTTATGTTGTTTGATTACACTGCATACCTACATGCAGCAATATGGGTAGCAGGGTGTTGCTGCTTGACCTTTGGGGTAGCAATAGGCAACGGTTGCCTGGATATAAAGTAGCTCTACTTGCATGTTTTCCCACTAAATTACAAATATGTGCATGTCTAGTAAGGCTCTTGATGGGAGGGAAGACTCTTGCAAAATCTGAAGCTTGTCCCACTCTGAAGGCATGTCCCTGTTAATTCAGTGTGCTCCCTGGAGAGTACTTATTTAGCCTCCGCAGTTGTGGCTGTGTTGCATCCGAGCATTAAGAAAGCTGGGCTGGAGAGTTGATTTGGTCTTGCAATTTGCTGTTGCCCTCTTTGAATTTTTTTCCTGGTTTTATTTGAAGGCCTATAACCTTGGAATTATGTTTGATTTTGATCTCTCTCACCACATTTGTCAGACAAAAACTAATCAAGCTGTCATTTCACCAACTTGGAATCTTTCTGGGCTGTGATCCATGTAGTCTCCACATTTGTTGATGCTCTTAGAGGCACTCTTAATCATGCTCTGGCTGAATTACTGCTAGTTCTTGTTTTGTTGGGTTGCTTAATGTGATACTGTATATAATAAATGAACCATCTAGAGTATGAATGTACAGTAGACCTAGCACTCTGTTGCTTTTTGGTGCTCTGCTGGTATTGCAAAGGAGGAATTGAAACTCATGGGTCTGTCCACTTCTACAGCTTTAAGTACTTTTTTTTTTTTTTTTTTTTTTTGAGTATTCTCTGCTTCCTCGTCTAGTCCTATTTTTGCCACAGTCTATGTTTGGGACATGAAGCTGCAGGGGAAGGAGCCCAGGGTGCGCCCAGCTCCTTTTCTGCTGCACCTGTATTAGAGCTGGGAACATGGTGAAAACCTGTCACACAGACAAGACGTATGACTTAAAGGTTTGGGGAAAGGGTGGAGCTGCACGCTGTACCAGCAGAGGTGCCAAAGGCTTCAGATGGGAGATGGGACACTCCAGGTTGTGCAGAGCTCTTCCTCATGCTCAGGTTGTACATGTAATGAAGAAATCATTTCCTCACACAAGGTGTCTGTTAGTCTGGGATGAGAGGCTCCATATCTGAGTGATTAAAAGGGCTCTTGGTATCCTTACTCCACCGAAAGTACTGATTTCTGGGGTAGAGGCTTAGCAGCTCATGCTAAATACAGCATGTTGTACAAAGCAGAAAAAGGGATGAGTCTCTACTCTTTAAGTTAAGTGCTATTGTGGGATCCTTAAATGTCTGTGGATCTCTCTCCCCTTGTAAATTATCATCCACTGCGACATTAAAGCCCAGTCTAAGATCCAAATCCTGTAACATGTTCTAGCTAGGTTGAGAGATAAAGGTAAATTTCAGTGGCTTTTCTTCCCCTCCTCGGTTATTGTTCTTGCTCGGTGATAGTCTAGCGTGGAATAGGGCAGACCCAGTGCCCTAGAAGTGTTAAAAAGCTAAATGAAAGTGCTTGGCTTGTCCTTTGTCTTAAGAGAATTTGCTGCCAATATCTGATGCTTTCTCGGTGCTCTCAGCTTTCTGGACCCAGTAGATACTTCCATGAATTCCCCAAAATTATTTCAGTGGCAAGACTCTTAATGCATGTCTTGCTAATTTACTTGGGTTGGGAAATAAATTAATAAACTGAGGAGGAAGAAACCGTAGCCTGCATCCCTGAGAATAATGCAAAGCAATTTAATTTGGAGATTTCATAAGAGTAATGCTTTAGGGCAGTTTTAACCCAGAAGAAATGAACATATAAATTGTTTACAAATCACTAAATTTAAATATAGTGATTTAGAAGTCATCTTTGTTTTTCATTTAACAGATGGGTCAAATTAAAACAAATACTTGCGCATTCCCAACATATTTCACTTTTAATGTGAAATGTAAATGACAGTATATAGCATGATGTCTTTGAACATCTAACAACAATAAAAACAATTTAGCATTTTCTTCTAGTTGTTAAAAGTGATAAGTTCTATAAAACAGAGATTAAATTCATAAATCTCCTGACGATGAGAAAAAGCTAAGTAGAAGGAGACACAAGAAGGAACTGATGCTTTTTTAGTGTCAAGTTATTGTGTGGCACTTAAGAAAATGAATTGTAAATGTTGAAAGTGAAAGACTACTTGCCATAAGTAGTATTGATGCTTGCACGATGGGCTCCAGATGGGGTGAGACCACTGCTGTGATGGAAGAGGAAGGTGACAAGGGCACCACTGTGCTGGACAGACTGAGCTCATGTGGGGAAGAGCTTTTGTCCAAGGAAGGTTGCTGCAATGTTCAAATATTTTGGCTTAAAGCCCAGATGGTCTGTTTGGGGATTTGAAGTCCTTGATATAGAGATGTCAGTTCCTTCTATTTCTGGCTGCCTTGGTGGAGAGGTGGGACTGGCCCAATGGCTGCAATAACAACTCTATGCCTGATGTACGGGAGGGGGTACTTCCAGGGGCCATTCAGCTTGAATTTTGGTAGATCTGCCCCAGTGGAGGAATGCAAATTTGTCCCAGTATTTTGGAGAAAATCAGTTCTGTTTTTATAAAGTAGGCTGTGCAGGGCTATTCCTTCCAACTTCCTTACCACTATTGCCGTTGGCTTCAAGAAAAGCATGATAGCACGTGTAAGTCTCTGCTTAATGCTCCTGCTCCTGAAATTAGGCATTTTGTGCTTTTGGATAGACTGGGGCACACGTCCCACAATCTCTGTGTGTGTGATTTATTTAATCATTTTCTGAGGCAGGTGGTAAAACTCCATTGCCTCCAGTGGGTCAACCCATCCATATAGGCAGCGTAGATCAGACTGGTTGACACTGTGTGGGTTACCTGTGTTTGTTGTTGTTAAAGCAGCTTTGTTCATGTCAGGACAGCAGATCTTCTAGTGAAGGGCTACATGGGTCTGGATGAGTGTGGCCTGTCATGAATAGCAGGGAAAATACAGCTGAACTTAATTTTTTGAGTGGTTCATGGCAGCTTTTGTTGATCAAAGCTTTTTCACTCCCAGCAGCAGAAACTGGATAGCTACAGTGCTTATGAAAATACTTGGCTGATGGCACTTTGATCATAGAATCATAGAATGGTTTGGATTGGAAGGGACCTCAAAGATCATCTAGGTCCAACCCCCCTGCTGCGGGCAGGGACACCCTCCACCAGACCACATTGCCCAAAGCCTCATCCAACCTGGTCTTAAACACTTTCAGGGATGGGGCATCCACAGCTTCTCTGGGCAACCTGTTCCCGTGCCTCACCACTCTAACAGTAAAGAATTTCTTTCTAATATCTAATCTAAATCGACCCTCCTTCAGCTTGAACCCATTACCCCTTGTCCTGTCACTACACTTCCTCATAAACAGTCCCTCTCCATCTTTCCTGTAGGCCCCTTCAGACACTGGTAAGCCACAATTAGATGTCCCCAGAGCCACCTTTTCCCCAGGCTGAACAATCCCAACTCTCTCAGCCTGTCCTCATAGGAGAGGTGCTCCAGCCCTCTGATCAGCTTCATGGCCCTCCTCTGGACTCACTCCAACAGCTCCATGTCTCTCCTGTACTGGGGCCCCCAGAGCTGGACGCAGTACTGCAGGTGGGGTCTCACAAGAGTGGAGCAGAGGGGCAGGATCCCCTCCCTCGACCTGCTGGTCACACCTCTTTTGATGCAGCCCAGGACACAGTTGGCTTTCTGGGCTGCAAGCGCACACTGCCAGCTCATGTTGAGCTTCTCATCAATCAATACGCCCAAGTCCTTCTCCTCAGGGCTGCTTTCAATCCATTCCTCGCCCAGCCTATAGTCGTGCTTGGGATTGCGCCGACCCACGTGCAGGACCTTGCACTTGGCCTTGTTGAACTTCATGTAGTTTGCACAGGCCCACCTCTCCAGCCTGTCCAGGTCCTTCTGGATGGCATCCCTTCCCTCCAGCGTGTCGACCACAACACAGCTTGGTGTTGTTGGCAAACTTGCTGAGGGCGCACTCGATCCTGCTGTCCATGTCGCCGACAAAGATGTTGAACAGTGCCGGTCCCAGTACCGACCCCCGAGGATGAAACACAAGCTTTTAATTAGGAGGTTTGATAACCTCCTAATGCTTGGCCCACCCAGACAGGGATTCATTCAGTCTTTGTGGCTACTTGATCTCATCTTTCTCCTGTGGCTGTAAAGGGCAGGGCAGTGATCAGAGGGCTACCTAAATGGTCATGAGGTGCAACTGGGGACCTCTTGCTGCTCCAGCACCTGAGCTCAGGCCTTTGCCACTGTATCAGAGAGCTCTTAAGAAAGGGTGAATTTGGAGACTTACATGTATTATTATATATATTATAACGGGGTTATAGCAAAAAAAAGAAGGAGAATGTAATGGAAGGATCATGTAAAAGAGAGATACAGCTAGTGTGATAATTATAAATCTTAAAAAAAGAAGGCACCTTCACAGCTGAAACTATGTAAGTTAAAAATCTTTAGGAAATGTTAACGGGTGGCCTGCTCACTAGGAAAGGGGAGCGGTATGGGACAAGCCTCCATGCAAGCTGCTTGTGGGGTGGGCTTCGGCACCAGCAGCTCCATGCCAGCAGTGCCTGCTCGCTGGCCATGGCTACATCCTTCTTATTCTGATCTGTAATATAAAACCATGTTTATACAAAAGTAGCTGTGTGGTTTGTCATCAGACTAAATCTGACTGACTTGAACTTGAACTTGTACTCTACAACGAAGTGAGTTTTGACTATCCCAGAT